TATATACACTAGGCCTTTTATTTCTTTTTGGTAAAATTCTCTTGTTGGTGGGCAGAATGAAAATAAAAATAATTTTTTTCTCTTAATTGCCGATTATTGACGTCGGCATTAACTGCTTAAAAATACAATTTTCATTTCAAGTGTTCATTTTCGGCTAGCGGCGGGTTCACTAGACAAGTTTTCAAGAAAGTGTTTCCTTAGGTGTGTCATTAATTACTACTTAAACAATCTATCAGGAATCCCACCATTAACTTGGCCTACTGAATAATGATAATAAAAACCGTAGGGGTGATGCTAGGATTTGCCTGACGGGGGTTGGATGTTGCCGACAGGGACTGACTTACTGAGTGTCAAGCTTGGTTTCCATGCAGTCGCTACATGCTACTATTGCTGACAGCTTTCGGTGATGCTGATTTTTTTTCGGTCGAATCGGGGAGCCTTTCCAATTGTGTCGGAAACTGCTATGTAGTACACTACGGTTGGACTGAAAACACTGTAGCGACAATGTACCAAATTTAAGGAAAACTGTTGTGCAAATACTACATTCACTATAAGTAATAACATAAACATAAAACATAATGTATGTATACAAAGGGTTAATAATTTTAAATAAAATTCTCATTATCTTTTTTTTTGTCATAAATTGGTCTACCTTTTAATATGGTGCCATATATTGATTTGATTGTATGTGTAAAAGGTCAGCATTTTCAAAGATGGGTACATTCGCTTTTGTCAAAGGACCTCACTCGACAGTCTTTACAGTAATTTTACATTTGGAAAGTCCTGTCTCACTTGTTTTTGTTTTTTTTTTTTGTTTTTTTTTTTAGTTACTTTTTGTTTCTGTTTTTGTACATGTTGAGGTTTCAGACAAATAAATGAAACTAAACCACACTTTAGGCATATTTTTCATAGTCGTTACATGCTATTGCCAACAGCTTTTGGTGATGCTGATTGGTCGGTTGAATCGGGGAGTCTTCCCGATTGCGTCGGGACGCTACGCAGTACAGCAATTGCACTAAAAACACACAGTAGCGACAAATTAGCGATTTTTAAAGGAAAGCTGGATTACTTGTCAACGTGGTCAGCTTTTGCTCAAAATCTGTCGAGTAATTCATGGGCAAATCTTTTGAAAACAAAACTTTATCTAATGGATTTTAGAGTCTATTAATATGTTAAAAAGCATATAACTGTTTTCCCCCAGACTAATTGTTTTTCTCAGGCAGCTCACTCCCAAACACCCCCTTCAACTCCCACCTAACACCACCACTGGTGCCACCCTGAATAAATGTAATAAAATACTTCCAGTGATTGGAAGTGGTTCTATCAGTTTTCGCTGTAAAATTATGGGTACACATTTTTTTAAATATACAAATTTCTACGTTCAATTTTTTATTTTTTTTATGTTACATCAAAATAAGCAAGTAAAAAAAAAGATTTTTTTTGTTGGGGGAGGGTATTTTTAATGGAACAATACATTTTAAATATTTATATGTTAATAATTGCTGTTGTGCAAATATTAGACTTTCATTATTACCAATAAAAATACCGTAGCATAAAATAAAACATAATGTATGTAATGCAATGTGTTACGGTAATAATCTTAAATAATATTCTGTTCTTTTTGGCTTTATGCGTAAACTTAATTTTCTACTTTTCAAGATGGTCCATATTTAATTTGTAAAAGGTCAATTTTTTTTTTTTAAGATGGGTTCACTTTTTATGCATGAAATTCTGTAGATCTACTTCTTAAATATTGTTTGGCCTTTTTTGAAAGTTCGCATTATTACGATTTACGGTCTTCACTATTTACCAGTAATATGGGACCACACTACAGAATTTAGGTTTGTATAAAGTGCATCTAGTCACGTTTTAGATGGGTTCATTGTAATTCGAAATTATGCATAAAATGGGTCAACATTGTATTGTGTTTAGTATATATAGTTCATGTATTTTTTAAACATGACCATAATTAATTTTATTTAATTTTTTTTATTAGCCAAAAATGCACAGGCCCTAATAGAAAGTATTTTTACTAGTTTAGATCAACTCAGTTTAAGATTTCACCAGAAATATTGGAAGCCAAATGTTGAAAGTTGAAAAAATTTTATGCTTAAAATTGATTCACATACAGTGCACATTGCACATTATTTAGTAGGTTTATTTGTTTAGCTTCATTTTAGTAGACGGGTATACATTAGTTATATTTTATGCATAAATTGGTCAAAAATTGTCACACAGTGAATAAATTTATTCCTACATATGAGAGATTTTCCACATAATATTTAGAGTAGGCTGTAAGCAATAACATTTCATCCAGTTTTGAAAGCGAATTTTATATTTTAGAATAGAGGTTTATTTTTTATGTAAAATAAATCTACATGATTACACAAAATTTCATTTCATTTTGTTCCTTTTTGTATTTTTATGGAAGAAATTTATTACAGGACAACACGACTGCCTCTAGCCCTATCCTATTCAATCACTGTTTTTTGTCAATTTGCAAAAGAAAAAAAAATGATAATGTGATTCTTAATGAAATTTAAAACAAAACATAAAATGTGCCTAGAATAGTTGTACAGTATTATATTATACAAAAGTATACTAGTGACTAGGACCTACTGTACTGGTGTGGTTTAATATCTCACCAGGAGCAGAGGTTAAAGCCGAGGTCAAACCTGAATGAAACTGACAAAAAGTGATATGTTACTTGTGGGTCAAATAATGACCTATCTTGACAGTGATATATAGACTAGCTGTCAGAAAATGATAATAACTGTAAAAATTTTACATACGAAATTTCTTAATCTGTACTTCTCATTTCCTTTGTATAGCATACCTCCATAAGAAGTTTTGATAGCAGCCAGTAAATTTTAACTTATTGAATAGGCTTAAGCACTTACAAAAACATGTTAGTATACCGTTTTAAATTGTTTTTTTTTTCTGCCATGTATTTTTGCACCTAAACCATAATTTCCTTTTGGATAAAACAATCTGAATCTGATTGTGATTCAATAATAAAGTACAGTATTATTCTTAACAAAATCTTTAACAGCGCCACCACCGTCTGCTCTTACCCGATGTGGAGAGAGGAGAGTTGTTCAAGATGAAGGCGGATCAGTGACTCAGGAAGATGACAACATAACGATTTTATGGACGTATTCCTATCTAGCTCCTGACAGGGCGACTATATCAATTAATATAATCAGAAATGGGGTCTAATGTTGATCCAGAAATCGAAGTCAAGAAACTCCAAGACCTCGTCAAGAAATTAGAAAAACAGAATGAATTGTTGAGGAGTAAAGCCAATTCGATTGTGACCCCCGAACTTGACCGGGGAAAAAGCGGCTCCTCCTCGCTCAATAATGATACGGATGCACATGTATGTGTAGGCCTAGGCCTAGACCTAAACAATCCTTCTGTTGTTGTAGAATCACCTGTACAAACACGTAAAGTTGATAAAGCAGATTTAAATTCATCTTTGGACAATGTCAAAACTATAGACTTTCACTTACATCCTATTGATTGTGAAGATGATGAAGATAGTTGGTAAGTAGATCGCCTAGGCCTAGGCTAGGCCTAGTTTCTAAAAGAATTGTTAGCCTAGGCTAGGCCCAAAGCCTAGCTAGGCCTAGAATAGATAGGGGGCTAGGCTAGCGACGGCAAATAACTGCACATGATGAGGAATCCTCTAATAAGTTCACGCGAATGTTTCATAAATCGATTACGACTTAAGAGTTTGAACCATGTAGGCCTACATTTGACTTTCATAAATAGGTCTAGGGCCTTGGTGGTGTTTAGGCCTAGGGCCTACTGTAGGCCTAATTATCTGTTTTTATTAAATCTAATTTAACTTGGTACACCATACATACAGTAGGCATAGCCCTAGTAATTTCATATATTATTGAATCATCATTGTGTTATCTTCACAAATGGTAACAATGAGCTGGAAATAAGCCTATAAGTATTTGTTTTCACTGTGGATGTTTTTACGATGAGTCATGAAAATAGCCCCCAATGCTATTCTTACGACGATGGGTCGTACTTGAACTGAACGAATTACGACTGTCACAAGGCCTAGAGAAAGGCCACATAGCTCAGACTCGGTAGAAGCCAGTTAGCCTATGCACAGTGGGCTTGCTAGGAGTAAACTTCATATAGAGATTGAGTTTAATCAGTGGACCTTCCAGTTTCTAGGCCTATGTCACATAAAGCTTCAGGGATGTGCAATAGGCCTACATTTTTTATTAATACAGTAGTAGTAATTTTATCAATTTCCGAATGCTTCATAATAAAAGACAATGCTTTTTGTTATGATATTGAATTGATTTGTTAAATCAAATGCATTTATACCTGATTTTTGTAAAATACTCTGCAATAAATTTACATAACAGAACATTTCACATGCTTGTTTTCGAGGCTAGATTCAAGATAGTTTCATCATATTCATCTGTTGTTTTTTTTTAGAAAGACTATCTGTATGTACATTATCATCATTCCTAATCAAAATCATGAATATTGTGTGAAATCTGGATCCATATAGATAATAATAATTTACTATTTATATTGTTATCCATATAGATGATATTAAAACGGATTGAAAGCTTTAAAAATATTAATAATTTTCAAACAAAATAAAAAATTGAGAACTGTAGCAGAGCCAAGTTAATGATGACAATGTTATAAATAGTTAATGAAATAAAAACCCGAGTACATCTTCACTGCCATTCCATGCGTCAGACCTAAAAATTGCGAGTCGTCTATTTTTAGCATCTACAGTAACCTACTTCTATCATTGCAGAAGTGCGCCCACGCTCTTGAAGGCCCGTTGTGCGTAGGCTAACTGGCCTCTACTGACTCTGGGCTATGATGTGGCCTTTCTCTAGGCCTAGAGATAGTCGCGATCCGTTCAGTTTAATTTTCCCCCGATGAGGACGCGCATGCGCCACCCATCATCGTAAGAATAGCATTGGAGGCTATTTTCACGACTCGTAAAAATAGCCTCAGCGATTTGTTTTCTTTTCACTCTACGTAAGGACCACAATACAGGAGGGAGACTGTTAATTCTTTGCATTCACACCCCATATACTTGTAGGCTATATTGGATCTGTGCTTACCATAAACAGCATGGTCTTTTTAGCTCCAATCAACTGTCAATGTTGTTTTTTTTAGTGATCTGTGGGAAAATGTGTTTGAATAACATAAAACTATTTGTTGACTTACTTAAAAGAATACTGTTTTTGCACGCTTGTTTGGTCAAGCTTGTATTTTAACATGGATGACCATAAACACTTTTTTGAAATATTCAATTTTCCTACATCACGGATTTATGGGGACATTTAATGCTGGCTCAGACTAAAAATACAAATACTGCCGATGTAAAATTCACCTTGGAAATTTTTTGCCAAGGTCATTTTGTCCCAATTTCGAGGGCTGATTATGCCCTAACCTGGTATAGTGCATAGTGCATACTGTACATTACATACAGTATTGGTTATGGTTAGACCTAAATTAAGATAAAGTCTTTCCTAAATTTACGAAAACTGTCATATACTGTAATAAGTGGATGCCACTTCAAGCGAATGATGCTTGAGCGGATGCGCATGAATGAAATAAAATGAAACTTTGACTAAAATATTAATTTCAGAGAGTGATTATTATTACTATTATGGTATTAAATATTGTTATTATTATTATTATTATTATTATTATTATCATTATTATTATTATCATTATTATTAAAACTATAATTACTGTGATGATTGCCAATATTTTTATTATTAATTTTGTTATTAGTATCAGTATTATTAGTATATTATTATTATTTTTTTATTATAGAAATACTGGTATTTTAGCCTTTAGAAAATAATTAAAGCTCAACTTTGTAACTACCTACACCTGGATATCTTGTATGCTAATTTTGTATATGCAAATTATGTTAATTTTGGATGAATTTTGGGGTGGTGGGTGTATTGTGTAGAAGGCAGTTGGGAAAGAGGGGTATTGCTAAACCCCGCAAACCTAAAAAAAAAACACCGCAAACCCAGGGATGTAGCTATTGAAAACTGAGTGTGGGTGTTATAATTTTTAGGGTGGGTTTGGCATGAACGTATATGTATTTTGGTGCGAAGTGCCAACCGAGCGAGGGCCGAAAAACCGAATGGGGGATGGGTTTCAAAGGGGGAAAAGCCCACAAAACACTGGGATTCTTGCTGTATAGAGAGCCTATGCGACATAACTACTATTCTTTATTCCAGGATAAGAGGGTCATTCATGCAAGTAATATAATTTTTTTAATCAAGAAAACAAAAACAATAATTTATTTTTAAAGACAAGGACTACTAGTACTAGCCTTTGTAACATTGGTCATCATCATAATAATGTCTAATTTTCTTCCATTTAGTTCTGTCTCATGCAACTGCAATACAGTAGTCATGGATTATCAATAAATAAATCTACAGTACCGCCACAAACTATTACAATTTTACCTGCGCGTAAGCTTCGTAGATACATCGTAGCCTGATATAAACAGTCTAAGCAAACCTACGAAGCAAAAGCATGTTGTTTATTTGTATGTGCAGAAAGACTGCTGTAGCTTACTGGAATAAACAATGTATTGCTCGATAATTTGTGAATGACAAGCAGGAGTTTAGACTATTAATTTAAAGTACTGTTTTTCAATAAGAAAAACGTACACTTGACTTCATGGGAGTCTCCTCTTCCACTCGCTGTCCACGACAGGAACTTGTTTGTACTGCTGTATTATTTTTTTTATTAATTAGCCTAGCCTAGGCTATTTTTTATTTACAATTATTTTACCTCTTTCAAATGTCAAAAAAGTGTCCTCAATGACAATACACACATGTGAAAAGATTGTTCATCAAATATTTTTTGATATTTCTTTATTTAGTAAGATAAATAATAAATATAAAGGAGAGTTAACGTCCGTTGGTAGTAACATTACCGAACGCATTTTCGGCTACACCCTAGCCTGCCTGTACCAATTTGCACACAGACAACTCGTGTTTTCAAACAATCTACGTTGCTCTCCTGCCAAGCGGCAAATCATGTGACTGTGTTTTCAAGGTACAGTGAAGCAAGCGCCTGGCGAACAACATTCTGACTGGTGCCATGCGAGAATCCATTGTCGTGTTATTAATATAAGTATTATTTGGGGAAAAAAACTTGTATTTGTGCGTGATTTTTAGGGTGGGTTGAATGGTTTGTATGAGGCTGGGCGGAAGACATTAAAAATGGCTTTAGGATGGACGCAAGACGTCAAGGCTGGGCCGCCCTGCCCACCTCCGCTCTGCATAACGACATCCCTGGCAAACCCCATCCAAACCTTGTGGTAGTGATTGAATCATGTAGTGTAGCCTACAACTCACTTGGTATCTCAGTAACAAAAAATTATAATTTTATGTTCGTATTCTACTTTTTGGGTAAAAATGTCATTTTTTGTAAAAAAGCATTGCTAAACCCCACAAACCTCCAAAAAAAACAATGCAAACCCCATCCATGTGATAGTGATTGAATCATGTAGTGTAGGACTCACTTGGTATCTCATTGAAAAAAAAATTGTAATTTTATGTTCGTAATAAACTATTTGGGTAAAAATGCCATTTTTTGTATACTACAAGTCCTATACTACATGATTCAATTACTATCACAAGGTTTGGATGAGGATTGCACTGTGTTTTGGGGGGTTTGCGGGGTTTAGCAATTTTTTATACAAAAAATGGCCTTTTTGCACAAAAAGTAAGTTGTGACGAACATAAAATTAGGATTTTTTTTTTTATTGAGGTACCAAGTGAGTCCTACACTACATGATTCAATTACTTTCACAAGGTTTGGATGGGGGTTGCACTGTGTTTTGGGGGTTTGCGGGGTTTAGCAATTTTTTTATACAAAAATTGGCCTTTTTACCCAAAAAGTAGGTTGTTACGAACATAAAATTATAAATTTTTGGACTGAGATACCAAGTGAGCCCTACACTACATGATTCAATCACTATCACAAGGTTTGGATGGGATTTGCACTGTTTTTTTTGGAGGTTTGCTGGGTTTAGCAATACCCAGAAAGATTGGCTGAGCGTGAAGCAGCTCGAGAGATGCCATGCTTTGACAAAGGCCAAAAAGTAGGCCAAAAGGATTGGAATTTTCCTGTATGGGCAGGTCCATGCTCATGCCCCTTTTGTATTGGTGCCAAGTTTCCAAATTTATACAAATTTCAGAAACAATGTCATTTGGAAGCTAAAACGTTGAAGTTTATGATTTATTATATTAAAAAAACAAAAGTGGAATAGTTAGATAATGCCAGATCCCCAGAATAGGGGTGTCCCAAGGGAGGGGTTCTACGGTATTTCAACCTTTAATGTAATCTTCAGTATTTAATTTAAAGCTACTGTATTTCCACACTAGCTGGCTTGACTCAGTATGGTATGAGAAATTTGTAGTCTACAAACCTGGGTTAACTCGCATCTGACCTGAATTTACTCTCAACCCAGACGAGGTAGCCAGATTGACCCCAGGTTAACCTTGGATCAAGAC